AGCAATTCTGGGCATGTACACACTGATGAGCAACAAGCAGTACTACGATGCCATCTGCAGCGGGGAAATCTGCAACACCGAAGGCATCAGCAGTGAGTGTGTTAGGAAGCGTGGCCCCAGGGCCTGAGGGGAGGCGGCAAAGGGTGGGACAGGTGAATGGGGAGAGGACCGACGGGGGAGGAGACTGTGGGGGACACGTTGGGTCTCCCTTCCTGCCCTCACCCCCAGGTGTGGTGCAGCCTGACAAGTATAAGCCGGTGCCAGATGAGCCCCCAAATCCCACGAAGATCGAGGAGATACTGAAGAGTGTTCGAAGCAATGATAAGAACCTGGAGGAGGTGAACCTCAACAATATACAGGTACGTGGCCCCCATTCTCCAAACAATAAGCCTGGGACACTCTGTTGACATACGAGTCCCTGAGCCCCACGTGCTGTTCCCGACAGGACATCCCGATAGCCATGCTAACTGAGCTGTGTGCGGCCATGAAGACGAACACCCACGTCCGGAGCTTCAGTCTGGTGGCCACGAAGAGTGGTGACCCCATTGCCAATGTGAGGCTAGTTGACACCACGAGCTCTCGCCTCGTACTTTGACACGCACCCCGCAGGGCAGAACTAACGGCTTGTGCCGGGGCTGCTGTTCCCACCGCGCTCTCAGGTAGCCCTGGGGAAGCCTCCGCCCCTCGGAACTACAGCTCATAGCTCTGAGGGGCTCAGGTCGGCTCCCCAAGGAGCCATCCCCCCAGCACCCCACACTCCGGCGCCTAACCTCCCTGCCACCACCCGCACGTCGCTCCCCCTGCATCCCCACCTCCAGCTTCTCAAGGACGCTCCTCAGAGAGCTGTGCTTCCCTCTTACTCCTGTTCTCTCCTCAGTCACCTGTGACATTGTCCCCCAATCCTAACCCAAGTCCCTACTGCCCAGGCGGTGGCTGACATGCTGCGTGAGAACCGCAGCGTCCAGAGCCTGAACATTGAATCCAACTTCATTAGCAGCACAGGGCTCATGGCCGTGCTGAAGGCGGTTCGAGAAAACGCCACACTCACTGAGCTCCGGGTAGACAACCAGGTCAGCACTCCATCCCCCTGGGCTTTGCATTTAGGTGACACTCGCTGAGTCTCTTCCCTGAGGCAACCACTGCAGGGGCGGGGGTGGCCAGCTGATCTTGTTTGAACTCTCCCCATTATCCTTTGAGGCGGGCCAGGTGAGCAGCTCTCATCGCCCACTCAGACCTCCCAGAGGGTGGGTGGTCTGGGACGGTGAGCCACCCAGAGAGTGGATGACAGCTTTCACTCCCCCCACAGCGCCAGTGGCCTGGCGATGCCGTGGAGATGGAGATGGCCACTGTGCTCGAACAGTGTCCCTCCATCGTCCGCTTCGGCTACCACTTTACGCAGCAGGGGCCACGAGCTCGGGCAGCCCAGGCCATGACCCGGAACAACGAACTACGTGAGTAGCTCGGATGCCGGGGTCGGGGGCAAGTCGGTAGCCTCCCGACAGCTGACATAGTGCCAAAAAGCCTGGGGTGCTGCCAAAGCAATATTCACACGAGCAGTTCTATCCCAACAGTGATCAGAAAGTAGATAGAAAAGCATCCCCTACCCCCAAAATATACGTCCCTGTAGAGAAGTGGAAAGGAAGCTAGACCTACCTGTTTGGAGGCACAGTACTTTTATTTGTCGTGTTGCTTCTTATTTTATTATTGTGGGGTGGGCATGTTTGGTGGCCTAAGACGCGCTACCTGTTTGCAAGTCTGGCCAAGGAAGGGGAAAGAAGAGCACCTTTGCAGACAGCAAGAAATGGAACAAAGACTCATGTTTACTTTTTCTCCTCTACAGGTCGCCAGCAAAAAAAGAGATAACACTGCCCTTCCCCGACCAGCTAGAGCTGGGAGCCCCGAATGCTTAAGTCCTCATCTGCCCCCCTTCCTGTAAATAAAGGCCCTCTGTCTACTCGGTCTGCCTCCTCCCTTGGGCTTTGGGGTGGAAATCTTGGCGCTAACCCCCAAGGGTTACTGCCAGTTCATCAGGGGATTATTTATACTCTGGGGATTAGCAGGCAGGGAGGTTCAAGTTACTAGGAGGAGGTGGGGGAGCTCCCTCCCCCGGTGTTCCCCATAACCCTGCCAATCCGTTAGTCTCTTCTACTTTCACAGGCTACCTGGCCTCGGCCGGGTTTCCAGGCCCCCCCAGTGTCTATCCACAACCCTCATGTGACCTGAAGGAGGAAAAGACTTTCCGTGGAGGTAGGGAAGAAGGCAGATGACACGAAGGGCAAAGACCTCCTCCTAACAGACTTATTAATAGGGCACCGGGCTGCATGCAGCTGGCGCTGGCATGACCTGGTAGCGGGCGGGGGAGGGGCTAGCGTATGGGGAGCTGTGTACATTGCAGGGGAGGAATGAACACATCTGAAATCCTGCAGTGGGACAAGGAACCAGACCCGAGCAAAGTTAGGCTCCCAGCGCCCACTGCCGTTTATTTGTGGATTAAATGAGGAAAAGGTGTCAGTCCAAGGGGGGATCAGGAGGTTCCTCCTCATCAGAGTCGAACTCAACATTCTCATCTTTTACCCACCGACCTCTTCCGTCCGGGATCCATCCAGAGCTGGAAACATCAGAGAAAACAGAACTGGTCAGGATTGGAGGTTTATTGAGAAGTCAATGGGACAAGAAAAAAACAATTGAGAAGGTTTCGAAAAAAGGAGGGTCAGAGAGAAAAGGGAAAATGTGAGGACGGTGACCCTGCAAACTCACCTCCGAAGGGTGAGGTAACGATCCAAGGCTCGTCGCCTCGTGGGGCTCACAGGTGCAGCAGATGAGGCAGGTGCTGACTCCTCAGCCTGCGGGCCAGCCCCAGGCTCAGGGTCCCTACTGATCTTCCTACTGTGGAGTTCAACCTCTGGCGGTGGCAAAGGGGAACGGGAGGCAGGGGGACGAGGGGCTTCTGGTCTGGGTAGAGAATAATCAGTCTGTACAAGCAGTAAAGGAAAGGGCTGTTTCTCCTGTGACTCCCAACCCCTTAACCCTTTTCTCGTTTAGAAAATAAAGTGCAGCTCGCTGCTCACATTGAATTAACATCACGTGCAGGAACGGTACGTTTCCTAGGATTTGACATTTTCAGCAATCGAGAATTACTGGATTTTGTAAATGGAAATACCACTACCAAAAACAATGCTCTAAATAGAATGATGTCATTTGTTTCCAAAGACTATCAATATACTAGAGCAATGCGGAAATACCACTACCAAAAAAGTGAGATATTTCATGGCAAACTTTGGTGGTAAGGTTAGGACTATAATCTGCGAGTAATCTCGGGATAAATGCTGTAGCTGCAAGCATCGCCAGTGAGTATTCTCGGCGAATGGGAAATGAGTTAAAGCAGTGTTTCCTAAGCTGTGTTCCTCGACATATTAATAAGTCTCCTGTATTAAAAGCCTTTTGGAATCGAATAAATTTAGAAAAGGCTAGGTTAAAATTTTTTAAGCTTTTTATCATAGACTTTGTAGAGACCTTAAAATACACAAATGTCACTATTCTTCAAAAGTATCCTACTTTGTAATCCTGCAAAGCGCCACCTCCCCAATTTTTTAACTACAAAATTCTCTTTATCCTGAAATACCAGTTACATCTCCAGAATACTAGTATTCCTCAGGATACGATATGAAAAACAATCACTTTACTTATTTTATTATTTTAGGCGAGGCAACCCTTGGTTGACCTCACAGATCGCAAGAATCTTGTCAGCTTACAATCCCTTATTTTTTAATTTTTTTCACGCCTACAGCACCTGGTCTTCCTAGGTGGTCTCCCATCCAAGTGCTAACCAGGCCCCACCCTGCTTAGCTTCCGAGATCAGACGGGATCCAGCTTGTTCAGGGTAGCATGGCCATAGATGAAAACAATCACTTTAGAGCCATTGATTTCCTCTTGTCCCTCCCTACCCCTGGCTTTCCCACCCCACACACCTGTACTTCCGGCGGCAGCAACTGTTATAGTGAGGGGCTCTGTGCAGAGCATTCTGGGTGATGAGTCGGGTCTGGGTTAACAGGGGAGCCTGAGTTGGAAATGGAAGACAGGGTCAGGGCTTCTTCCTAGAAGCCAAAGCCCTTCAAGCCTAAGGTGTGGAGCACGTCCTGCCAGGAACACACGCTTCCCTCTCTGATTACCTCCGCTTTGGTCTCTTTCCTCTCCAGTTCACTCTGCTGTCTTGGATTCTGCTCTGTTCCCTTTCCTGGTTGCTTCTTGCCATAAAAAAGCTGCAGGCCTGAGGAAGAAGGGAAGAGAATTAAAAGCAGTGCACCACAAGTGGTTTGAAGACATTTTAAAGGTTTATTCTCCACACACACACACACAGAGTCTTCTCCCAAACTTACTGGACAGATGTTTCTTGCCTGCACGGTGGGCAGTCAGCATGGCCAGGGTGTCCAGAACAGGTCGGTGGGGACAGATAGCACAAGCAAAGCTGGAGAGGAGGGGAGAAGGAGATAAACAGTCCTTGGGAAGTGGGGGGTTCTGCCCGTAGGTCCCACCCTGTCCTAGAAGTCCTCTCCAAAGCCCAACTGCCAAGTATCCCAATCTCCATCACCCACATCCTTGCCCCTCACTCCCCACCAAAGAATCCCAGATACTGCCGCTCTCCTCCTTAATAACAAAACTTTACTGGTCTCTAACCACAGAGCCCTCAGGCTCCATCCACTCTTCGCCCTCACCGTCCGTCCCGTAGCATCAGCGCCTCATCCTCTGGGATATAACTGGCCAGCAGGTCCCCGACCCTTCGCTTCTGCAGAGGGTAGGGGAAGAAGTCCGGGTGAGATCAGAGGGATAGGAGGATGTGGTGGTGGGGAGGGAGACGACAGGAACGAAATAAACGGACTAAACCCCATGGGGAAAGCAGAGATCCTAGAGCGAGGAAGGGTCACAGGCCAGCCTGACTCCCTCCCGCCCCACCCCAGCTGTTGCCAGAGCAACCAAACAACCCCCCCCCACCCCTTCGCGGCCTGCAGAGGGCGGCGGAAGCTGCTCCAGACGCTCCGCTCGCGCGCTTACTTTGAGCACATTGAGTTGACTCCAGTCGTCCCCTTCCCTCTTGAAAGACATCACGACTGAGCCCCAGAAACAATAGATTCTATTGCACCGCCTTCGCCACTCCTTTCAGGCCACCGTAGCAAGAGTGGGACTCGCCTAGCCTTCGAGTCTCCTTCCGGTCTGCCTGCCTACTTCCGGGGACGCGCTTCCGGGCGTGCGCCGCGCGACCCGGAAGGCCCGCCTCCAGCCCGCCGAGGGGGACTGCATTTCCTATGGCCCCCTGCGACCATGCAGGCGCGGAGCCTTTTGGGAAATGAAGTCTTTTTTCGAAGAGCTTGCCGCCCTGCTGGATCCAGGCTCTGGCATCCGGTCATAGTCGAGGCGTTTGGAGGGATAAGAACCTAGATGTGGAGCCCGAATTTGAGGGTGCGCAGTGGGCCCTTGAGGATCTCCGAGTGGAAAGTGTACTTCAAACTCGCAATCATCACGCGCCTCGGCGGCGGCGGCAGCCCACCTGGGTGGGCCTAATTTGTTCACGACCCTAGCGGACCAAGCGCGGGACGGGGTGGAGTCGAGGTGTAGGGGGACCCGGAGACCGGGATGCCAGACCAAGGGACGGACTGAGCCTAGTGTTGACAAAGGTGTTTAGAGTTCAAAGGTCAGAGGTCAATGCCGCGAGTTGTTATAGAGGATCGAAAGTCGGAGGGTGGTGCTGAGGAGAGTCTCGTGGAGGGACTGAATACTCAGGGTACAGCTTTGTGGGACAGGGGCTTGGAGGAGGAGAAGTGACAGGGGAAGGGGAGCGTAGTGCTGGGGGAGACAGGAGACTTGGGAGAGAAGACAGAAGAGAAAAGGACCCCCCTGGTTATCCGTCTCCAGACCCCGGGCCGATCACTGTCGGTCCCTTAGCCGAGCCTCCAGCACTTGCAAGCCCAGCTGCCCGCAGAGTGAAGGGATGGCTTCTCCCTCTAGACAGGCCCCCCTCGGGGGCTCAGGACTGCTTCAAGGGAGCCGGGCTCGTTCTTACGGAAGCCTGGTGCAGTCCGCCTGCTCCCCAGTAAGGGAAAGACGCTTGGAACATCCGCTGGCGCCCGGAGACACCCTGGCTGGACTAGCACTCAAATACGGGGTGACGGTGAGTCTTCCAGGATTGAGATGTGGACAACTAGTTAGAAGAGATTTATTCCTCAGGAGAATGTCGTGGCCCTTCTAGGCAATTTCCCCTGAAGTTTTCCTCATGTATCATGTCGTCTGATCCACCTTTATCTTTTTGTTTTCCCATCTCAGCGTTGCACTGTCTGCTTGGGACAAATCGCGTCCCACCATCCCAGTGGAGAGGCGCAGCACCCACGTAGTATACCAGTCACTACGCCAGCGGCTTCCCATGCATTAGCTGGTTTGGTCCTCCCATCCCTATAAGGGTATAATCGTCCCCTTTCTACAGATGAAGAAACTGAGACTTAGATTGGTTGACCAGTTTGACCAAGGACAAATAACTAATGAGATAAAGAGTGAAAATTCAAACAGGTCTGTCTGACTCCAAAGTCTGTACTATCAACCACATAGAAACTTTTCAATTGAGTGATTAAATATTTACAGCAAATAACGGAGAGCTGATTTTTAGTTCTAAGTTCCTAAAGTGCTGATCTCTTCTTGTTCTTTTTTCCTCCTCAATGCTCTGCCTTCTTTTTCCAGGAAGGTGCCCTTTTTTGATGTAAAACAGGTACTGTATAGTCAAGCATTTCAGGTCACGCATAGGGTATATTTGATAGGTGTGAAAATACATTGCATAAAGGTGATGAGGTCGTGTTGGTGTTTTTTTTCCATATCCTGTTGAATTTAGCTAACATTTTTATGTTTGGTCGGTTTGAAGCACTGTGGTAGCCATCTTAAGAGAGAGAAACAAAATGTATAGTCGGTGCCCTCGTGTAATTTACAGTCTAGTGAGAAATGGACAGGGACACAAATAATGGTTATAGGTGACAGAATGCGGTGAGTTTGTAGAGGTACTAACAAAGGGTGGGAGATCAGAAGTGAATTTAGCTAACATTTTTATGTTTGGTCGGTTTGAAGCACTGTGGTAGCCATCTTAAGAGAGAGAAACAAAATGTATAGTCGGTGCCCTCGTGTAATTTACAGTCTAGTGAGAAATGGACAGGGACACAAATAATGGTTATAGGTGACAGAATGCGGTGAGTTTGTAGAGGTACTAACAAAGGGTGGGAAATCAGATTAATTTTTATTTGGAAGGGAGCAGGGGTGGACATCAGTGCAGATTTGAAGGGAGCCATCGTCAAGGGCCTTGAAAGACTTAGAAGTTCCTTCCTCTGCGCCTCTCTGCAAACCTATGTAATCCAGTTGTTTACATCTTTGTCTTCGCAATAACCTGTACTCTTAAGGGGTGGAACTATTTCCTTTCGATTTTGTATTGTAGAGTCTGGGATAGTTCTCAGCACATAGAAGCCTAATAGATGTTTCTTGAATGAATGAAAGTATGGCTAAGATTGCCACACATGGAGACCGGGAGTATAGGAAGATGAACACTTCAGGTAGAGGGCATTGACTAAACAAAGGCAATGGATATGAAAGTACTGAGCAGCCATGCCAGCAAAGCCTCAAGCTGTGCAGACAAGGGAACTTGCTACTAGTGAATCGACATTTATTTATTGAGGTTTTCTTATAGCCTTGCAGCTTTCTAAGTACAGAAAAGCTCTTTAGTAAAGAATTCTAGCTTCTGGCCTCATTCTGCAGCTTACTGGCTGAGTGACTACATAACGCACTTCCCCTGTTTGGGGCCTCAGTTTTCTCACCATTTGTAAAATAAGGGAGATGTATTAAGTAATGATAATTACCTGTCATTACCTACCTGTCATTTAAAGAGCATTTAGTGTGTGCCAAGCGCTGCATGTCATCTCATTATCTTCGTAAGGCTTTATGCGGCAGGTGTAACTACTCTCATTTAAAGATAAGGAAACAGGCCATCGACTACACAACAGGTCTAATTAGTAGAACTAGGATTCAGACCAGTTCATCTCATTCTAAAATTCTCACTTTATACTGCTCTGTTAAACTAACTCGATTCTAATGGCCTTTCTGGCTCTTGAAGACTGGCTCCATGGTGAGGACTCTGGGCTTCGGCCTTGGTTACAGCCTTTTTAAGAGTAGAATGATGTCCCCTGATGTATGGTACTTTTAGGAAATAACAAAAGCACCAGAAAATTCATAGATTAATCCATAGCATCTTGGAGCTAGGAGGGACATAGGATATTTTTTAGGCAAAATAAAATGAATAGCATCACAGCACTTAGCCATGTCAGTTTTAACTTTTTTTATTCAGATTAATCTGGTTTTAAACACATTAAAGCATAAGATTTTATTAGTCCAGTTTATTTGTAGTAGTTTTGCCCAGGGTGGAAACAGCTATGATATTAGACAGATATAAGAAATATGATTTCCCAAACTGATGTCAATATGGGATGAATTTTTAGTAAAAGTGGCTGCCTGGCCTCTGATAATAAAAAAACTGATGTATCTGTGGTTTCTATATTTTATTATCTAGTTTGTGTACTCACAAAGCATTAATGAGCCTCTGCTGTGTGCCAAGTTTGTGCGATGCTGAGCAGCGCCTTAGGGATACAGAGCCAGCAAGTCGCCATCCCTGCCCTTAAAGAACTCACAGGGATTGGGCAGGACAGATATGCAGAGAGGTGAATAACAACATAATAGGGTAGGTATTATTGCTGCAATATTTACAGTCTGCACTGGGAGCCCTGAAGGAGTTAACACAAAGGGAGTGATAATCGATAAGTAGAAGCTTTCCAGGCAGAGAGGGGATAGCATTTCAGGCAGATAAATAAAGACACAGAACTGAGAAAGATTATGAAATGTTCAAAGAAAAATGAGAAGCTGGGAGTGGCAAAATGTATAGGTGGCAGAAGAGAGATGAGGCTGGACACCCTTTGGGGCCTGGATTGAGGACGCCCTCGAATGCTAATTTAGATTTTATCTGAGCCAATGGGGAGCCGTAGGAGGTTTATAAAGAGGGTAATGGGTTGGTCAGATTAATTAGAAAGATAGATGTCAGCAGGGTGGAGGAGGAGTAGGAACAGGGAGAGAAAGACCAGTTTAAAAACTCGCAGTACCCAGATGAAAAATATTAAGAGTTGTTCTGAGGTGGTGGCAGTAGAGTGAAGATGAAAGCAGATATGGGAGAGATTTTTATGGCACTTTTGTTGACCACTTGGGCATGGGCGATGGTGACCCAGAAGTATGAGTTAAAGGTGACGTTGATATTTCGACCCTTGGAGACAGATAGATGGCGCTACCAGTCACCATGTCAGTAATGAGTAAATAGGTACCAAATAAATATTTGGTCAGTGAAATTATTAATATTTTAGTGTGGAAAGCAAAGAGGCCCCGGCTCTGTCGTTAACTTGCCGGATAACTGCAGGCCAGTAACCCAACCATCCTGGGCGTCAGTTCCTTCATCTTTAACAGAAGTTCTCAAAGTGAGGTCCACGGGCTCCAACGGGTCCCTGAGACTCTTCAGGGACCTACAAGGTCAAAACCATTTTTGTAGTAATGATAAGACTTTATCTGTCTTTTTCGTTCTCACTCTCATGAGCGTATTGTATTTTCCAAAGGCTCCATCACGTGTCACTGCAACATAGCGAACGTAGAGACAGATGTGCGAATCTTGTTGTCTTCTTTTAAGTCAGACGTTAACGTGACTTGCAAAAACGTAGAACAATGCCCCTCTTCTTGCTACATTTTTTTTGTCGTTTTGGGAAAATATAGTTATTTTTCACTAAAACATTTATGTTAACGTAATGAGATTGTTATTTTTAAATAAATACGTGTATTTCAAATTTTCAGTTTTAATATATAATACTTTAACCACTGATAGCTATAATCCACATAAATAAAAGCTTTTTCTGCAGTATTTTTTTTAAATGTAAAGAGGCCCTCAGACCAAAAGCTATAAAAACTACCGATCGATAAAATAAGGATAATATCAAACCTTTATACTTTAGCTTGCTTGTTGTAGGGTCGAATAAGACTATACGATCACTTTCAAAGGCATCAGATGCTATACAAATGTAAGATTTATCGTTATTACTGTCATTAATTGTGGTGACTTTTTTTTAAAGATGGAACAGATTAAGCGTGCAAACCGCCTTTATACTAATGACTCCATCTTCCTGAAGAAAACCCTCTACATCCCCATCCTGACAGAGCCCAGAGACTTGTTCAATGGTTTAGATTCCGAGGAGGAGAAAGATGGAGAGGAAGAGGGACAGCCGAGGAAGGATAAAGCTGGGCCACTCTCAGCAGAGAGGAAGAAACAAGAGACAGGTGCAGGACGCGCCAACGGCCAAGCCCCTCCCACACCTGGCCAGGAACCCCCGACCCCCATCCAGGACCTCTCCGCCTCTGATTTCCTTAAGAAGCTTGACTCACAGATCAGCCTGTCAAAGAAGGCTGCCGCCCAGAAGCTGAACAAGGGGGAAAGTGGGTGAGTCTTGAACGGTTCCTTTTAAGCCCCGCCATAGACGTCTCCGTTCTCAGGCCTGACCTGACCAGACAAGTAAGTTAGCACAGTGTCAGCAGAAGCAAGGTGAAGCCCTTCCTTCAGGTGGCCCAGGACAATGAGCAGAGCCAGTGGCCGCTTGAAAGAATAGAGGCTGGGAGACGGTCCCGCGTTGTTGCCAGAGTAAAACCATTGACTGTTCTTACCGCCCTGATGGCCCATGAAGGAGCAGCGGGCTTAGGACTGATCCCGGAGCTGCCCAGACTCCATCTTAGGGCGACCAGCTCGTGCGTACTAGGAGAGGAGGGCAGCTTCCCACGAACCTCCTCACTTGGCCATTCTCGGGTTCTTCCCTTGACCTGTCCCTCTCTTCCCCTTTCCTTACCTGCAGGGCACCTGGGGAGGATTCAGGTCTTCGCCTGAGCCCCCCTCGGATGCAGCAACGAGCAGTCCTAGGTCCCGTGCCGCTGACCCGGACCTCTCGAACTCGGACACTTCGGGACCAGGAAGATGAAATCTTCAAACTCTGATGTCCCCAGAACTGACTGAGAGAAGCAAGATGTTGAAGGAGCAACTCGAGGGGGAGGGGAGCCTGCGGTGAGGCTCTAGAACCGGCTTCCCAGCCCGCCTCCCGTCTTCCCCAGCCTCCTGTCCATCGAAAGTTCCTTGGCCTGGGCCAGTTTTACTGGCAAGAGTAGTGCGTGGAGAGTAGACCCCTTCTCAGTTCTCCGGCTGACTAGAGTCGTCCTTCAGGTTCAAAGGCTCTTTTTACATCCCTGCTGCCTTTCCCATCCCTTTCACCAGTCCTGGCCTTAGAGCAGGGAGGCAGGGACTCTCCCAGCCCCCAACTTCCTCACCATGTCCCCCTATGTTACCTAATTTATTTGGTGCTATATTGAAGTAATATTTATTTGCTGCATCTTATTCTTTCCCACTCTTAGCTGAAAAATGGGATTTCTGTACCCCTGGGATGAAGGGGACCCAGGAACAGTGAGCCAGTGACTGCTGGCTCCCCATCTTCCCCACCTTCTTAGCCAAGCATGTTACTGAGGACAGAGCAATCAGTGACCTAGCCCGCTGCAGAAATGGCCAGGCCTGTTCCCCAGTCTCACGATAAAGAATCGGCTCCGTCTTGACTAACCAGTTCGCTGTAAGTTTTCACAACTCTTACTCTGAGACAAAACAGCGAGGTGGGGACTGGAACTCTCCACGCCACCAGTTCGGCCTTCTAACCTGCTCCTCTGTCAGCCTGTGTGAGACTAAGGGGTGGAAGAATTTCCTTGAAATTTAGAGAGGACAGTCGTGGAGTCCTCGTGTCGTGGGGGTCTTTTGGTTATAACCCTTCCCCACCAGAGCCTGTCGACCTATGCCTTGCTCCTCGCTGCGTTATTTATTCGCAATTTGTAGCCCTGATCTGCAGTACAGTTTTGGGGGGGTTTCTTAAACAGAAGTAGGAAATATGCCTGTCTCCTGTGTGGAAATGGCAGTGCTTAGAGAAGTGGCGTTTCTCCTTCCTCCGTGGCGATCACGAGATATAAGAAGCTGGAGAGATTAAACGTTGAGCCCTGTGCACGTTTTAGTAGTTTTATTTCGCCTGCCAGACTCTGCCCTGCCCGCCCCTTCTGCCTGCACTCCGGGACAGCGCCACTGGGCTCTGTCCAGACTCTGCCTGGAGCTGGAGGTCTAGGATGTCCCTAAAGGCCCCTTCCCCCCCCTCTGTCTTTAGTGTCCCCGGAGGGGTTAACCGGGCTCTGCTCTCTCCGCCCACTTCTTAGGAGAAGGGGCTTTCCTGGTTCCGACATCCCTGTGGGGGGAATAAGAGATCCAAGTTTCACTTCGTCTTTTCGGGCAGCCGGTTTCCTGTCCCGGGGCCGGAGTGGGAGCACCCCGCAAGCCTCAGCATGGGTTCTCCACCGGCGGGGTGGGGGTGGGGTGGCCCCCGAGTCAGAGGCGCCCTTGGCAAAGGCTGCGGCCCCAGGACCGAGAAGCGTTAGTGCGGATGAGCGGGGTTAGAACTGTCGCCGTGGCTCAGTCGGCCGCGCGGCCGCCGCCCGGCGCTCAGAGTTTGCCCTCGTCCAGCAGCTTCCGGAGCCCGTCGCAGATCTTGCCCAGGTGCTGAGTGAAGTCGGGCCCGTAGAGGGCGGTGAGCAGGCCCTGGTCCGAGAAGTGGTCGAACACGTGGCGGATGCGGTTGTGTGACTTGGGCGTCAGGTGGTGCGCCACCAGCTCCAGCAGCATGTCCCGGCACTCGGTCAGCAGGTCGGTCAGCACGGCGGCCTCGAAGGTGAAGGCCACCTCGCCAAAGCTGAGCGCCGTCTTGGCGCCCTGATGCAGCTTTTGGCGAAAGCGGGCGGCCAGGGCCAGCTCGCCGGGGCTGAAGCAGCCGCTGCGGTGCAGCACGGCCACCTTCACCGCCACCTTGATCAGGTCCTTGATAACCCGCTGGGCCTGGGGCCGGCTGTGCGTGTACTCTTTGGACACACGGTAGAGCTCGTCCAGCACCTCGCTGCTTGTCTCGTCGATGAAGAGATGAGCCACGGACCGGCCGGCCATCTTACTCAGCAGCTTCTTCTCGGCCTGTAGGGCCAGACTCTTCGAGCTGAAGGACTCCATGGGTCCTGGAGAAGAGGGAGGGGGAGAGGGATGTGGTCAGTCACAGAAGAAGGGCCACAGGCTTCCTTAGAAAAAGAGATGACTTTTCCCCTTTCTGCCTTCGGTTTCTGGCTGCTCATCATCTTTGCCACCTTTTCCCCCTGGGCCCCTCCACCCGCTGGGCCTTGTTCCTATTTTTTTCTCTCTAGCACTGTAGGACATCGCCATGTCTAAAGCAGCCCAGAGGAGCAGTCATGGCTTTGGTGGAGGACTGAGGGGACACCAGAGGCCCGCCCACCACGAGTCGAGTCTTAAGAAGTAGGCGGTCGCTGTGACAGTGGAGATCAGGCTGACCTGGCGAAAAATTCTCTTAGCTGCCATTTTTGGACATTGACGATGTACCGTGTATCTGTGAGGTGTAGGTATTACTATCCCTTGTTTTATAGCTGAGCAAACTGAGGCCACGGTAAACACAACTGTCGCTAACTCCAAAAGCCCATGTCAGCTAGTGTGACGTACTGCTTTTAAATGAGAAATATGGGAGACCCAGGAGTCCCGATAAAAATAGTAACTACACTGAGATCTTGCTCTGTGCCAGCGGTTTTATGTGCGTTATCTCAGTCCTCCCAACCCTTTGGAAGGTAGGTATCCCCATTTTGCAATGAGAAAAATGAAGCTAAGAGAAATTAAGCAACCTGGCCCAAGTCACTAGCAGATGATCAAAACGGGCTTGAGAAGCCTTCCCTGGAATGCTCTGGACGCCCTCGAAGCACACCGAGGGAGTGTGAGAAGCGCGTCGGGGGGCAGGCAGGACTGAAGGTCTAAGGTCCTCTGCTGTGGCCGAACCGGGCCCCTCCTGGGGCCCATCAGCAGCACAGGTCCATGTTCTCTCCCTATGGTCTTTGCCTGTGGTTCCTCTGCTTGTTTTGCTTCTTACTTCCCCCTTCCCTGCTCTGCAGGATGTGGCTGCGACCGCAGTGAGAGCAGCCTCACCCTCTCCCCCAAACCAAAATGGGCATGTGAAGAGGCAGGGGAGAAGGGTGCCGGCGGGGCCGGGGGGGGGGTTCTTCCCCAGCTGAATCAGTCCGGTGGGGACCTACAACCTCGCTTCGCTCCCGGCTTTGCCCAGACCTTTCTGAACCATGCTCCATGGCCGGAAGAGGAGATTGCTCCATGTGGGCCTTCCTTCCTCCTTGGCCTTCCTGTTAGCCCGCTCCCACTGCCCCGATGCCATCTCACCTTGGTCCACTGTGCCCCCCTCTCTCCGTGTGTCAGTCTCCCTTTTTCTCTCATCCGGGTCCTGCCCTGTGGTCCCCTGGCCATGCTCTCCCTCTGGCCTTGACATTTACTTCCAAGTCTCTTGAGATTTCCTTGCCTCTCTGGGTGCTCCATCACACACCCATCTCCAGCCCCATGCCTCAGCCCTGCCCCCGCCCCATCCCCAACCCTGTCTGTCTGTCTGTCTGTCTGTCTGAGGCTGCCTTGCCCCAGAGAAAACTGAGCTGGACCTCCCCACAGGGGACCTGAAAATACTATCAGGTAAGAGCCTCACAGCATAGAAAGCTCAGGCAGGCTGACAGAATCGGGACTCTTCTGCCACCATCACCCCTAGATCCTATCCTTCTGTCATTGCCGGTCCCTCACCTGCCGTGCACTGGGTGCCAGTCTTGCCTTGGGTGTTCCGGGAGAGCTGACAGAATGGAGAAGCTCCTAAGTGAGAGGCCCTTTGGCCTGGCCCCACCTCTCAAGCCCCGCCTACCTACTCTCTGCTCAACCTCCGGTTCTTCATACTGTCACCAAGAAGGTCTATGGCCCAAGAACCTAGAAATATGGCAAAAGTCCAAAGGAACCGCACTCCGTGCGAGATAGTCTTGATTTCTTGAGGAAAGGAGGTGGGATTGCACACCCCCTGCTCTCAAATTGTTTGTCTGCCTCTTTCTGTCCTTGCTGCCCAGCTCTTTGGGATCTGTTCGCCTTACTTTTCTGTGGTACTGGGGAGGATGCAAAGTACAAATTGCCGGAGTGCAGGTCAGTGGGAAAAGTTCTCAAGGGTGAACTGAACTTGAGCTGGAGATGCCAGAGACAAGCCGGAGGCCAGCAGGTCTGAGTTTGTTCCTGAACTCTCCAGGGAAGAATGGTGCTATGGGGCAGTGTTACCACAAGCATGTGCTTCCCATGCTCGGCTGGGTAAGGGTGGCACAGACTGTCCCCATCCTTAGCATTGGCGTGAGGAAGGTGCTGGGGCCATGGCTGCAGAACCAGTTGTGACCAGCAGGTGTCAGCACAGCATTGACCCACTAGAGGAAACAAGCCTTACTTACCCACTGTGCTTTGCAGCTGCTAAAGATACAAAAATCAAGGTAAATTAGAGTTCCTGAACAAGGCAAAACTACCATCAAGAATCTTACAGCCTGGGCAGGGAGGAAAGCATAGATAGTTATAATAGACAAACGCTGTCATTAGCATTAACAAAAGCTTAGGAATTATTGAGAGTAAAGAAAGTGTAGATTATTTTTGCTAGGAGAGCTGAAGAGGTAGACGTGGGAGGATGGATTTAAGTATTTAATAGGCTGAAGCGCTTCCCATATGATGGGGATGAGCGTGAGCCTGACAGCGAATAAAGATAACACACGGGAGCATTTAAGATCTTGCTTCCCCACATCATTGTCAGTTTGGTTCAAAATCTTATTTTAAAAAAAAAAAAAGATAATACAGGTCATACTCAGGAAGTGGCGATTTATTCTGTATGCCTGGAGCGTAGGTTGCTCGAGAGAGAGGCGAAGAAGGAAAAAGACCAGCTCATGGAAGGCCTTGGAGGAGTTGATCAAGACGAGGGTTTTCACATAAGCAATGGGGAGACATTACAGGTTTTTGATCAAGAAAGTGAGCAGTGGGAACGGGTTAGAGGCGTCGATAAATTTTTAGCTGAGGAAGGGGGCATGCTTAAAAGGAAGTGGTCAGTGGTATAGCTTGCTTAAATGAAGCACAGGATGAGAACTGATGAGAGCCCTTCGGATTTGGTGATTTTACCAGAAATTCTAGCAGAAGGAGAGGGCTTGGAAAGTTGGCTTGTTGTGAAAAAGTGAAGGGTAAACTGAAGTCCAGAAGTCAAGGCGGTCAGCCTGCCACCGACTCCGAACCATCGGTGTCCTCAGAGGCAGTGGTGGGGTCTCCGCTCCTCACTCCTGTCCCTCTCAGCCCAGGGCCCCGAGCTGAGGGTCCTTGAGACAATGCGGATGGGAAATGTCCTTTAAAGGAGTGTGGTGCTTTAATGGGGTGACGGGAAATGGAGAGGTAGCTCATGGGCATGGGGAGCTGGACTGAGAGCGATTATTTTTAGCCGAGTTTGAGGACGTTGGTAGGCTGAGAAGAAGGAGTCTTAGAAAATGCAAAGAAGAGGGAAAGTTTATGGAGCGAGGCGAGGGGGCAGATGAGAAGCAGACTAGGAGGCCAGGGAAGGGATGTCACGGGAGGGAATGGGAGCTGGCATCCATTGGGTGCACTCTGCTAGATGTTATGTAAATATCTCATTTAATCTTCCAACACCCTTATGAATTAAATGTGGATAGATCCTTTCTGCTAGTGAAAAAGACTGAGGCTTAAAGAGGTGAGATAACCTGTCCCCAAATTAGAGAGCTAGTAAATGGCAGACTGGGGACCTTGTCCTCTGCTTTTTCTGATAATTACCTCACAAGGTTATGAAGTAATAACTTCAACCTCATAATGAATGTGGCAGCCTTCTACTCCCGGATGCTCTATCACTGATCACACACTCTAGGGACAAGAGTAGGCAGCATTACCAGAAATCGCAAGAAAAGTAAAAGTCTTTTTTAATTAAATAAGGGGAAATAAGAAGAGGAGCGAAAATACGAGAAGATACAAATACAGTCATACCTTCTGAATCCAGAAAGCTGCTACCCACTCCTTCCCTGTTTACCCCTCCGGCTTCGCCTCCCGTCTGCCCCTCCCGTCTGCCCCTCATACTCCGCTCTACTTCTGTGGAGGTTCAGTTCCTACACTACTCCCCATGGAGGAACCGAGTTACTCTCCCTCCCCGCCCACTTCTTCCTGTGCTCCAGACTTTCCCATTTCCTATCTCTCTGCCCGGAACTCTCTTCTCATGCATACCTCTCTCCCTGACTGGTTCAGTCCGCCTTGACCTTCAGGATTCAGCTGGAGGGTCATATCTTCTGTGAAGCCATCATGACTCCCTAAATCACATTAGACTCATCGGTTATGTAGTCCTATTGGACTGCATAGCTCTCCTATTATAATAGTCACTCTTCACGGTCCTTTGTGATATTATTACTCGCCTCCCCTCTGGACCATAAACTCCACGAGGGCAGAGCTTATGCTTTAGTGCCAGCGCGGTGCCTGGCACTACTGCGCTCAGTAAGTATTTGTTAAAAGAGTCAATTCAAAACACACTCAAGAACCAGGAGACGAGGGGGAAGCAGCCGCGACATAAGTGTCTCATGTAATAATGTTCGGTATTTACTTCGCTCGTGGGGAAGGCTTGCTTTTATTTTCTCTTCATCGATACCCATTGCTAGTAACCTTCTCCAAACCTACAGCATATAATTAGCAGCAAATTAAAAGAGGAAAGAGGAGGTTTGAGAAGCTACGCTGATAACAATGCAAATTACCGCAGATAGTGAGGGGAGACTAGAAAAACGAAAAAGCAGACAGTTGAAAATCGTAGCATTTTTGGCTCTGGAGAGGAAGAGCCAACAGTATTAAATATGTATATTCTAGACATTGGAGTCTTCACTGTTTTCCTGGACAATGAAGTTCACAGAGCTGCTTCTGAGTAAGCAAAAATTTCGTGAAATGATGGTAACCTAAATGTGTGAAACGTTTTCAGATTTACAAACGTTTCATCTACATTATCTTATCTGACCCTGTGAGGTAGGCAGGCAGGTAAGGTGTCCACTCACACATGACAGGCGCGGCCTTAGAGATGTGAATCTGTACTCGGAAGGCCAACCTAGGTCTTAATGACCCCTAGTCATGTTCTTCCCACTATGTAATCCATAGGAAATTAATGATATCTTTTTTTAGGAATTCCTAGGTGACACAGTTAAAATGAAAATATTTTATACTTAATTAGATAAACATCAGTTATCTGAGAAAATACTCAGAATGGAACATTCCTGTGTTCCTACTTAGCTGAGGCTTTACCACGGTTCGGATCAGCACTCTCATCGGTTCAGGAAGAGAAAGTTCACTGCGACTTGAAACAGTCAAGCAAGACTTTCGCCTGGCTGCTGGAGGTAGTTCACATTTTAGATGCATTGATTTCTTCCTCTACTTACCATTTGCCAGGCATTAGGACTAAGTGCTGGCGATACAAAGATAAGAGACAAGCTTCCTGTCTTTAGACTAAGTGGTAGATGCCTATGAAAAATACAAATGGAAGTATCCCATAAATACTTGCATACCCGAGTTTAGAGCTCAGGAGAGAGACCCAGGTCGAATAGCTAGATTTTACAGTGAGCAGCACAGAAGTGATTACTGTAACTATTGGTATGGATTATCTTGACCAATGAGATGTGTAGAACAAGAAGCGAGGACTTAGGACATGACCCTAGGGAACACCAACATTGAAGGAGAGGTCAGAGAAGGCTGAGAAAGAGAGGCCATATTAACAGAAGTGAAGCCATTTGTTCGTTTAAGAATGTATCTGTTTATTAAGCTCCTAAGCTCTGTCAAGAGAAAGGACCCGAGAGCCAAAATAGGAGGATATTTCAAGGAAGAAGGCATCGACAAGGTCAAATGTCATAAAGAGGGCAGAAGGATAAAGACTACAAAGCTGTTCATCGAATGTGACAAGGAGGTCAACAGGGGCCTTGATGAGAACGATCTCAGCGGATTGGTGGGGGCAAAAACTAAAGTGCTTGAGAAGTGGATGAGAAGGGGGAATGGGTCCAGCAAGTATAGGTGACTCTAGACATTCAGCTAGGAAGGAAAGAAATTCAGTGATGGCTAAATACAGACAAAGATCAAGGGAGAGTTTAGAATTTTTTTCTTTTAATTATAGGAGATGCTCGAGTATGTGTATATGCTGAGGGGAAAATGGTGGTAAAAAAGGCTAAGAATAAAGGAAGATTTGAAGAGATGTGGCATAAAGCTCCTAAGTTGGAGATACAGAGTACAGATTTAGTGTGTTCGCAGTCAATACCTGCTAGTGACAGGCACTGTGCTAAATGCAGAGGCTACAGTGGTGAGCAAGACAGACATGCCCCGTGTGCACGGAGCTTGCAGTGAGGTGCAAAGGTGAGCCTTGGGCAGGCAATATGGATGCCTCATCTACTGGATGAGAGGCAGGTGTGGATGTAGCTAAGTGCATCCGCAGAGGGCAAAGAGTCAGTGGAATTCTCACTTTGTTACCTCTATTTTTTCTGAAGACGGCTGTGAATTCTGCTAAGATGAGCAAGCAAGTGGTGAGGAAAGGAACTTGAGAAAAGAGGCAAGCATTTGAAATAGCTACCACTAGAGACTGGGAGAGGGTGATTTTCCACACTTGGAAATGCTGAATTTATTAAAGGCACCCATTGGTGGGACTATGTGATGTTTTTCCAGAAGACCCCGGGAAGCAGGAACTGAGTCATTTGGATTTGTCCTCAGATATAGCTCTCAGAGTCATCCATTTCTTTGCATACTCAATGCTACCATCCTTGTCTGACCGTCTCTCTCCCCTCATCCTTGAACTTCTCTGTGTTTTTGTGGAGGTCTCCTTGTCTTCTCGCTACAATAAAGCATTTTGACAAGTAACGCTCTTATTCAAAAACTTAACGTAACATCCTATTCCTATCAAATTATTTCAGTCTATTCACCTTGGCATTTTAGGGTTTCCATAATTCGCTTCCCTCTTCCCCTTTCCTCTGCTTCTAACTAATATCTTTCTTACGTATCAGTCACACGGGACCTTTTGCTATCCATGCTTTAGGCTCCATGCTCACCAAGTAAAAGCTTTTGCTTAAGCTATGTTCATCTTTAGAACATTTTTTCCTTTCTTTTGCACCAAGCCAGCTCCCACCAAGGTTCTCCTGTTACCCATGATAAAATGTATCCAACATCTTTCCCTGTAGTCATCACAAAACAAAAACAACAAAAACCCAAAAAACAAAAAAAAACCCTTCACATTTCTTGTTGGGTTTTTTTTTTTTCCCATTTAGGAATTATGTTCGATGTAGCTTTTTTCATTTTTTTTTTTGAGACAGTCTTGCTTTTTAATCATTTAGTACAAGCAAGTCTTATTTTATATTTTTATAAATAGATGGTTGTTTTCTTAAAGACTGGGACCATCTCCCACAGTGGATTGTACCTAAAGTGAGTGCCTAATACTTATTGAATTGAGATTTTAGTTGGCCCTTTAAATGAATTACACCTTAATTTATTTAAACTTTAAATGAATTACACCTTAATCCCCTTTCACTAATCTATTTGATGAGCACATATTTGAGTACCTAAGCCCGGTGCTAGGAGTTGAGGAGATTTCTTTCAACCTGAGTGTCTCTACATTTTGAGGTTTCTTTCCCCCAAAACCTCTTTTCAGCCTTTAAAACAGCCCAACTGGCCACTGAATTGCCTTGGACCCAAGACCTTCCCCAGTTAACATCGTGTAAGTATTGTTCCATCGTTTCTGATTGTTTATCTCACTAGTTCACCTGCCTCCATCTCTGTGTCTCTCTTCCTCTGTGTTTGTGTGTTTATGTCTCCTGCTTCCTCACGGTGGGGTTTAGCCCAGACAGTGATGCTACACACCTTGATCTCAGTCCAGTAAAGACTGGTCAGAAGTAGCAAACCCCTGTCTCCTCTTTTCTCCAGTGCAGAGATCAAGATGTGGGGGTGAGGAGAAAGGAGGTGCCCACTCAGATAAAACTATCCAAGAATGCCAATGTCTCCCAGGCCACCTACTACCCTGGGAATTTTGAGAACGTCTGTCTTTTGTCCCAGCCCCCACGCAGGGAAGAATCTTAGCTGGCAATACCAAGGTGGGAGCCAATCAGGGCTGCCTAAAGTAGCCTTATTCTTCCTCCCTACTGACATTCCCAGAATCAAAGGGTCTTTATGGAAGGTCAGGCTGGAAAAGGAGCAGTTTTGCTGTTTGGAGGGATGCCCAGGGTCCTTTGAGGAAAGATAGGACATTACTAACCCTGTGTTTGGGGGACAGTAAGGCTATGGGGGTTGGGGACAGCTGGTCACTTTCACTCTTTCTCAGGTCTCCCTGTGGCTCCTCTTTCTGTGTAACTCTCGGAGCCAGTTCTCCTCACCCCACATCTCTCTTTTGGCTTCAGCCCCACTCACCTGTCCTCCTCCTTCAACCAACAGCCTGAGTGTCAGCCACTCTGGCTTCCTGGTTCCTTAGTCCCGGGCTTAGTGGCCCAAGCCCATCCTGCTTTGACAGTAGCAGTGGGAGAGGAGGCGATGATGGGGACAAGGAAAACCTTCTGCTGACATCTTCCTTCCCCAGGCCTCAAGCTCTCAAGTGCCTGCTAGGCCTCCCTTATCGGGGTCAAGATGAACCAGAGGAGGCACGTGGGGAGAAATAAGGGGGGACTGAAGTAAAAAGAATAGAAAGAGGTGCAGAGAGTTGGGGGTAGAGTGGGCGGCGGGGTAGCAGGAGACTTCCCCGGGAGCAGAGTAGCCAAAGCCATTGGGGAGAGGAAAGGAGGGAGGGGGGTCGCGCCGGCTCTGACAGCCCAGCCCAGCCTAGCCGAGGTCTCCGGGTTTCCTGTCTGTCCTCCCAGATGCTCTTCCTTCCCGGGGCCTCTCCATGTTAAAGCGAGTGACCCCTCCACCGTTCGGGTCTCAGCGACTGTCCGCGGGGCTCTCCAGCTCGCGCCTGGCTTGGGTCTCCAGCTCAGCCTCCCGGCCTGGCCTCTTGGTGGGCGGAGCTCCTGACGCCCCGCCCCGAGAATGCTATTGGCGGAGAGGTGTCGGGAAGGCGGGGTCTAGCCGGCCTGCGAGGGCTGGATTC